CATCGAGGGCCAGTCTCCGGAGCCGGCCTTCGGAGATGCCGACGTGTCGATGGTCCAGGTGAAGTTAGAAGCCTTGGAACTGAACCAAAGGGATGCCGCTGCCGACCCTGAGCCCAGGTGGCACCCGCCCCGCCAGCGGCACCTCCCGGAGCTGCCCGAGGCGCCTGGGGAGGACAGAGGCACAGGCAGCCCTCCCCACGGGAGCCAGATGCCGACGTGTCGATGGTCCAGGTGAAGTTAGAAGCCTTGGAACTGAACCAAAGGGATGCCGCTGCCGACCCTGAGCCCAGGTGGCACCCGCCCCGCCAGCGGCACCTCCCGGAGCTGCCCGAGGCGCCTGGGGAGGACAGAGCCACCGGCAGACCTCCCCACGGGAGCCGCCCCAAGACTCCCATCTTCAGCCCCTTTCCCAGCGTCAAGCCGCTGCGCAAGTCAGCGGCCGCCAGGAACCTGGGGCTGTACGGCCCCACGGAGCGGACCCCGACCGTGCACTTTCCTCACATGAGCCGGGGGTTCAGCAAAGCCGCCGGTGGAAACAGTAGCACGAAGAAGCGGTGACTCCCAGAAACTTCGCCCCGAGGGTCACCTTTTCGTGGTGGAGCAGGGGTTCCAGCCACATGGCTCCCGAGGAATTGCAGCTGCCCCGGGAAAGCGTATGGATGGGTCCAGAGGTGGGCCGCATCTGTAAACACAAGGATTGGAGGTTGCACGGTGGGAGCTAGATTAGGGGTGTTTGTCCACCCACTGATAACCGGTACCATGGATTCTTGGTGGCGAAATAAATATTGTGGTTTTAAAATGTGAAGTCTTCCCAATTTTTAATGGTCAGTTGTTTCGGAAAGACTATGTACCTAGACTCTTAGTCCCTCTTCCTTCTTCCTGTTCTGCGGGCCTTCAGGGTCCTTTGGGTGTTACTAATGCGCACGCATGCTCCACTAGCTTGCGAGAACAGGAACTGTAAATAGAAAGGAAGTTTCTTAGTTGCAAAAAACTTCCCGGTTCCCCTCTTCATGCCCTATTGGGGGGCATGTTTGTATGTGTGAGTTTTCCTTCAGTCGTTTCTTTCAGCCAGTCTCAAATTGCTTTTGATTCTTACGTTAAATTGCAGGAGAAAACTTCCAGATAGCCTTTCCCTCCCTTTCTATTTCTAGCTGCAAAATGAAGGGAACTTTTATCTGTTGAAATTTAGGTCGATCACTAACTTGAAGATCTTATGCAGAGAACACAAATGGATAGGCACTCAGCAACTGCTCAGAACAGCTTGCTAATCCCCCTAAGCTTTCCCCACGGCTCATTTGCCCCTCTTAAGGAGCGTTGTGGTCCTCGGTGGTGGGATGACAGGATGGGCTGTATGGGCAGCTTGCCCCACGTCCTCCGCTCTGCAGCTCACTTACCTACCAGCTCTCCACGGCAGATGCAGTGAGGCTCTGCTCAAAAGCCAGAACATAGCACCTGCAGCTCTGTTACTTGAATTTTGTGCTTCTTTTGATTGGAACTTTGAATATTTTGTTACTTGAACACTGCCTTTCTCTGGAGAAGGCCCAGTGCTTTCCAGCTCTCTCTCACCCACTCCTCCCTGGTCCCGGCAGGTCAGAGACAGACCTGCTAATGCCACTATGCAGATGGGAACTCAGCCACAGAGAGGTGAAGCCCCTCAGCTACTGCAGGTAAATACTGCCCCTCTTCAGCGTGACTTAGCCACATTTTCTCCAGTGCAGGAGGCAGGTTTCATGCTCTTTGTACGCAGATGCACCGGCCACAAAGGTTCTACAGACCACGACTGGGAAGCCATATACTGCACTCCCTCCTGACTCCAAGGGCCTTCCTCCAGGTCTTTACAGTCCTGCGTGGTTTCACAAAACCAGCTCGGCCCTTTTCACCCGAACAGATAGTACATTTTAGTTTTTAAAAAATATATATATTATTGATTTTTTACAGAGGAAAGGAGAGGGATAGAGAATTAGAAACATCGATCAGCTGCCTCCTGCACACCCGCTACTGGGAATGTGCCTGCAACCATGGTACCTGCCCTTGACCGGAATCGAACCTGGGACTCCTCAGTCCATAGGCCGACGCTCTATCCACTGAGCCAAACCAGTCAGGGCATACAGTACATTTTAAAACATGCTACATGCAGCTGCCATTTGGCTAAACCGAAGGTTCACTCCTCAGTGTCCTTCTCTCAGCATCACGAGAAGAATAGACTCGGCCTCTCATCCTCATTGCTGGAAGACCAGGGCCGTGCTTGCAGGCATTGTGCTGAAGCAGCCACTAGTAATCTGGGCTAGTTGGGTCGCTAATTCTGAAACCAAAGCTATAGTTTTAGACAAGGCTTTTACTAGGAGAGGTATACGTTTTTATAATAAAATAGAAAATGTAGTTGTGTGGGCTTCTTTGAACAGGAAACACAAGAATGACATATATAGCGAGAAAAAGCCATTTTATCCCCTGTGCGGTATTTTGACTCCCAGATGAATGCAAGATGGAAAACATGACTGATAAGATACTGCAGTTTTGCTTGAATCCTGTGCCGCCTGAAGTTAGCAGGTAGCTTCTTAAAAAGCAGCCAAGCCCACAGCCTGTGTCTTGGGGAGGGGGTAGGTGGAGAGTGGGGCTGACTTTGCAACCCATCTGGGAATGGAGGCCCACTGTGTTTCCCAAAGTGAAGCAAATGACACGATTTTCTGTCACCTGCTAAACTTTACCGAAAAGAATGATTCCACCTAGGATTCTTTTCTCCTCCCCCACCCCCAATGAGTCAGAGCCACCTTGTTCCCCTTGAGGGATGTCTGACAGCACAGAATTGTTCTTCCCTCTGTGCGTCAGCTCCCGGCAACCTGTGGTGGGGGCCCAGGAAGGCAGTGATGGTGTGGAGGCCCCTGGCTGCAGCCCTGAGCATCCTGCCTTGCTGCGGCCCAGCTGTCTCTGTTCCCAGCACACGCCTGTTTCCCAGGGCTGGTCCGAGAAAGGGATGGATGAGAGAGCACATGGTGTGGGATGAGTATTTGTTGAATGAATGAATAACTGAAAGCATAATAGTCTTTTGAGGTAAAAAAAAAAATGACCTTGTCAGGATTTAAAACCAACAGATTTCCGTGGAAGCTTTCTCTGTTCCGATACTGTGCATGCATTGTACCGTGTACTCACTTTCAATTATGAATTGGTGAACTTCTAAGCCTCGCTACTTTAGAATATAAAGAATCTGCAGTAGCCTCAACCGCACAGCATGGACAAAGACCTCCAAGGACTTGTTCTCTTCCCGAGGTATTGGACACTCTGCAAGCACCAAACGCACTCACCAGGCAGTGGCTCCTTGGTCCTCAGAGATGCCTGCACCCGTCCGCACGTTTCACCGGGAGCCGCTCCTCCCGGCCCTCCACACCTGTCCTCCCAGATGATCCAAACAAACCTGGTTTGTAATGTCGACCTATGGGCGATAACGGTTTGGAATATTCTATTTCTTTTTGGTCTCTCTCACTGTTCTAAAGACTGTCGATTACAAAGATTTGTGCATAAAGATGTTCCTTGTTGTAGCTGGGGTGCTGTTTTCTGTCTGCGAGTGCACAGAGCACTGCTGTGAGGTCCCCCACGTTGGTCATGTGAACCAGGGGAACAGCCCAATAAGCTCCGTCCCCCCAGTCTAATCTGGGGGCTGCATGGTGGCCGCGGCCTGCTGAGACCCTACCAGAATGGAGGGTGTAAGGGTTCGCGGCGCAGGAGACAAAGTCAGAGTTAAAAAGTCAGGCAAATCAAAGGTGGTACTTTAATCTGCACTCCCGGGCGAGCTACACGGGCCCCAAAGAGCGGGGCCAGTGAAATCTCCCCGAGAGGGAGTAGAGGCATTTTTTTATACAGCTGTTCAGTGAGGGCGGGCGTGGGAGGGGGGAAGTGGCGTGAGGCATGAGCTGTGGGAGTTCCTGTCGTGGGCAGGTCCGTCAAGGGTTCCAGGAAGGAGTCTCTGTCGCCATCTGTCTGGCAGGCTGACCTGTTAGGAATTCCAGGAAGGGCCCAGTATCTGTGCCACCATCTACCAGGTGCGCTGACCTGTTAGGAATTCCAGGGAGGGCCCAGTATCTGCGCCACCATCTACCTTGTGCGTGCATGGGCTTCTGGGCTTCCCTCCGACTTAACAGAGGGTTCCTCAATATGAGTAAGCAAAGAGATCACTGGAGAGTGTGTGTGCGTGTATAAAATTAACCTTTAGATTTTCCTTTGTTTTAAGAAAGTAGAACAAGAATGCAACTTAGCTTAGCTTTCTGGTCTGTGGATTCTGGATGGATAGAAGCTGTGATGGAGCACACAGCG